CAAATTGAACATAATTAAAGCATAGTGATTAATCACAAAAACAATATGTAATTATATATGTGTTTTCCGATGGTCTTAGGTGACTCCTGTTAAAGGGTCGTTCGACCCCCAAAGGGGTCTCGATGCACAGGTTGAGAACCGCTGGGTTAGAGGAAAGCCAGACTAGAGGCAGGGAGCCACATTAGAAAGCTGTTCCAGGAATATAGGCACGGGTTAATAGAGGCCTGGCTCTTGGTGGCAGAGGGCATGGGGCATGTGGACAGATTTGACAGACATTTACAGCTAGGACCAACAAAAAGGGGAAATTGAATGTGAGGAAATAGGAAGAAGAAGATAATGCTCATATTTCTGGCTTGGGTACCTCTTCATGTGGTGTGAGGTGGGTAATACAGGAGAGGAAGGGATGGAGAAGGATACATTTAGCTTTACGTTGTTCTATTGAGATGGGCTGTGGTAGGGAAGCAAGTCTGTGTATGTGTGAGCACCCGGGTGTTTACTGGAATCGTTATACTTAGTCTTCAGATGTCCTTGCTTAAAGGACACTGCAGATGCATGTCTTCTCAAGGATGCTTACCCTAATGATAGTATTTAATATTTAATTTTAGTTCAAGCTGCTGTTACAATAAAAGCCTGAGGAGGCAGGAGAATGGGCTGTTTGGTTTCTCTAGCCAACCAGTCCCTTAGCCCTCTCTTTCACAGAAACGTGTGTCAGAGTAATCATTCATTCGTCACTCAGGGTCTGCTGGCCTGGCTGTGACCTACTGGAGTGGCCTGTACAGGAGCACATGGATGTAGGGCCCTGGAAGGAGCTGAAATGGAGAAGGAGATTTAGGAGGCATCCGCATCTTGAAGTGGGGATGTATGAGATTGCCTGAGGAGAGTTTTTAGAAAGAAAAGGTCATTAGACAGATCCCTGGGTAGGCTAGAAAGGGGAGGATAGACCTGCAAAGGAGTTAAAAGTGGGAAGTGGAAAACCAGAAGAAAATAGAAGCTTCATGGAAGAGGAGGAATACATAACTATCAAATGCTTCTGAGAAGTCAAACAAGAGGACTTAGATTTAGAAACAGTTTTAGTGGAGTAAACCACTTCACTAAAGAAAGAAGCCAGACCACAGTGAGTCGAGGAATAAGTAAGAGGTTAGGAAATGGTGATAGCTAGTTCAGACAATGTTTTCATGGCTGGTGTAGGAATCTTTAATATGCTGCACCAGGGCTTAATCCAAATATAGCAGTCTTCTAGAATCAAGCAGTTACACTATTTGGAAAGCAGCCTGGAACATGTAACAAAAGACTAACATAGTATAAATACTATGATATAAATGATGTAATATAAAGTAAGGGGGGGGGATATGTCCTAAGACACACTTTGTAGTAGATAATATTTGAGGTATTAACTAAGGTTCTACCCTCCTTGAGCTTCCTTGTCCCTTATCTTTCATTCCACCACTGAGATATTAGTGATCACCTTAATGTACTTGCCTCAGGGAAAAATAGATAGAATCCTGAACAGAGACATTAAAAGAGGTACTGGATTGAAAAAAAAATCATGGTGGGGTTAAAAGTCAAAGCACTTTTGCCCAACTGGTGTGGCTCAGTGGTTGAGCATCAACCCATGCATCAAGGGGTCACTGGTTCCATTCACAGTCAGAGTACATGCCTGGGTTGCAGGCTCAATCCCCATAGGGGTTGTGCAGGAGGCAGCTGATCTGTTTCTCTCTCATTAATGTTTCTATTTCTCCCTCTCCCTTCCTCTCTCTCTCAAATCAATAAAAACCTGTATATTTTTTTAAAAGTCAAAGCCCTTTTGTAAGTTAAAAAGTATTTTTGTGTTTTGTTTGTGTTTTTAGTGGACATGCTTGGCTTTGAGTATCAAAAGCCAAGGAACTTGTAGGACAGGAGAGCATAAACCATAGGTCAAGGGCAGAATCAGGATGATGTAAGGTCTGCTTCCCTGATTCAGGGTAAAGTTTCTGGGAGCAGAAAAGGAGGATTGTAGTTTGCATACAGACCCCCTGACAGGTTTGGGGGGCGTGCAGAACCTTCCTGTATTTGCATTTCATTTTCAGGATAGAATTCAGGGGAAACTTCAAGTTTCTCAGATATGCTGCACTTCCCGTATGGGCGCAGAACAATTGTGCAGCTATGGCTGACTCAGTTAAGTGGACAGGTCAGGTGGACAGCTCAGGGGAGCATTCTAGTGTTCCTGAGCCTCAGGGGGAGCTCAGAAATGCTGAGAGAGTACCTCTGAACTCAGACATGCCTGTGGCTTGTAAGAGAAGGAGACAGAGTGTATGGACCTGGCACATAGTAAGTACTGAGTAAATATTAGCTTCAGTGTGGGCTGGACCTAGTAACTTGATTCTACTGAACAAAATACAACAAAAGTGACAGGATGGCCCTAACCGGTTTGGCTCAGTGGATAGAGCATCGGCCTGCGGACTCAAGGGTCCCAGGTTCGATTCTGGTCAGGGGCATGTGCCTTGGTTGCGGGCATCTCCCAGTAGGGGGCGTGCGGGAGGCAGTTGATCGATGTTTCTCTCTCATCGATGTTTCTAACTCTCTATCCCTCTCCCTTCCTCTCTGTAGAAAATCAGTGAAATGTATTTTAAAAAAAGTGACAGGATGTCACTTCTGAGATTGGGACACAAAGCCCTGTGGCTTCCATCTTGGGCACCTTCTCTTAATCTCTTGCTGATTCATTGTGAGTGATGCCAGCTGCCATGTGAGGTACCCAGGTAAGCCATGCCCAGATTCCTGACCAAAAACTGTAAGATAAATGCTTATTGTTTTAACCCACTTAGTTTGAGAGTAATGTGTAACACAGCAACAGAGAATGATAAATGGTGTTACACACAGCCCACGATCATTGTCCAGGTGAGCCAGCTGCAGTACCTGTTGCTGACGATGCTGCCATTGGCGCTACAACCACCATGACATTGCAGGATACCAGACACCTGCTTCTTTTGTTGCCCCACCACAGCCAGAGTCCAGGACCACTTGTTCAGTGGCTTCCAGCATGCCTGCTGCTACTGCTATCTCTGGAATAACATGGGAACCCAGGGGCCCACTCTTGTCCACAGTTACTGCTGTCTGTAAGTAAGCCAGAGATGGAGGGGGGGACTTAATACAAACAAAATATGCCTTCTCCTGCCTTCTATCTCTCATTGTCAAAAACCTAACTGGAAGCTACCTTGCAAAGGGTCTGATAAATATATTTTATATACTTTTGGCCCCTTATTATAACCAAGAAGAGTATAGGAAGGTAGAAATGTAGCCGAGTGCAGACAAACAAATGAAAACTCTCTCTACTCTCTCTCACTCTCTCTCTCTCTCTCTCTCTCTCTCACACACACACACACTTAATAATGGAGTGCTACTAAGCAGCTCATCAGCCTTGGGACCACTATGATATCCTGTGGGCTAATGAGATGATCATGATCTCTGCTTACCAAACAAATCCGTAGAGTTACATCAACACTAAGGCAAGATGGTGTTCAACAGTTGCTTCCAGGTGAAAGCAAGTTGCTTCTGGTACGTTTTATCTATAAACATAGATGAGGGGAAGCATTTGCTCAGGCAATGGCTCCATCCCAGGGCCTCTGTTGATATGTTC